TTAGTAGCTGTTAAAAAGCAAAAGGTATCAAATCCTTCCATTCATTGCATACATTTGGTGTCAGGTCCTCACAATAGACCAGACCAGAGATGGCTGCTAGAAGAGCTTATTCTGCTGTTGTACTCATTCAGGGAAGGACCAGCATCGCCCTCTCCACCCCACGTGTTTGTAAGAACTCCCAGTGTTAATGGTGTCTAGACAAACCAAGCCTCTTTGAAGCCACTCACCTCTTTGAGGAGTCCTGAATTGTTTCAGCTTCTTAATATAAAGGCAAGAAAAAAAATACGAGCAAGAAAGAAAAACTGACACTGGATTTCGGATGACACAAATTATATTTCTGAACATCGCCAAGAAACAAAATGGGACAAATCCATCTAGTACTTGTCACTGAAACTGGGCGTCACAGCTCTGAATACAATGGGAATTGTTCAGCTTTGTTTAAACAAAAATTAAAATAATTAAAAAAACACTCAAAACCCAAACATTTTTCAGGTCATTGCAGTTAAACTCTAGAGTCTGAATTAACAGAAGCAAAAGAGATTGCCAATACATTGCCAAAGTCTTTGCCATTTGATTCAGTTAAAGAGAAGCAATAAGCCCAGGACCGCATCTGGCAAGTCTGAAGTAGGGACCATCTACATGAAAGGCAGACTAGCAACAGGATTAGCAGAAGACACTGTAAAAACAGGTGAAGGAGTTATAGCCATAAGACACATCAGAGTACAAGTTCATACGGACCAGTCTTCACAGGTGGAGCTTCTCCATTGAGTTTCATACACAAAATTTCTGAAATGGCCTTCTAACTGTCCGCCCCCACGTGTCAGCTACAGACCCCAGGCTTCGCAAGGGCTGGTGGCACAATCCAGCTCTGGGCACCACACAGGACCCCTTTCCGTCAGGCGTTTGCTACCCAGAAACGTCTAAACCAGAGCACGCAAGCAGAGATGTGTCTGCATCAGTGCCAGGGGCGACAGTACCTGTGTGGCAAGGAACAGCTTCCCTCAGGCAGCTCAGAGAAGAAAAGCTGTTGCTTGTTTTCCTGATACTAGCATGATCAAGTTGCACTGTGTAGGATTTGCCAATGGACATGTTTGTGCACCTTCTAGCTTTGCATTTCAGGCTAGTGGGAAGTACCCTATGCTACCATCATCCCCAAGGAGCATGGGAGAGGCTGGGAAGGAGGAGGAGCTGGAGAGCAGGGCCAGATGCTGAAAGACACAGAGGCTACTGGAATCAGAGGCCGCTGTGTTAGAAGCACACAGGACTTGGCTGTGGAAGATCAGTGGCTCTTCCTACAAAGGGCTGAGACACTCTGAAGGTGTCCTTTGCAGGAAAGACACCTGTTATATTGACCATGCACATCTTGATCACTCGCATTTTATTTTCAGCCCTAAACAAAGAGGTTCTGGACCTCCTTGGAACCAAGCGGTGCAGCAGTCCTCGCATCAACCCAAAATGAAAAAGACACTGTATCCTCCCCCAGCATCTCCTCAGCCTTGGGCCTTTTCCTTTTAAGAGGCTGTCACAAAACTTAACTGAGCTGACATCCAATTCCAGGCAGAATATGTAGCCCTTGCACCCACTCCAGGTCATAAAAGAGACACCCCTTCAACTTGGGGGTGTTTGCTTTGGCCACGGTCTTTGGATGGTGGGACAGGAAAAGGTTCTGCAGCTGTGGACAAAGCTTCCAGGATTGTGGCAAACAGACCAAAGCAGGACTGGCTCTGAGCAGCTGGAATGAAGCCTGCACAACCCCTTTCCGTGCATCTCCTTCATGGCCAAAAAACACCAAGGTGGTAAAAGCAGAGAGCTGAGAAATGCCCACGGAAAGCAGCACAGAGGATGCAGGAGTCTCGCCTGGAACAACACATTCATCTCTACCCTAGGACCTCTCCCTAATTCTATTCAACAAAGATATATTACTGACATTGCTAAGACAGAAAAAAAAGGGAGAAAAACCAATGCCTTATTTCTTTCTTATCAGTTGGGCAAATGGTAATTCCCACTGCACAATGGGATTAGGCTCAAATTGGAGCAGCATCATAAATCTGTAGTCATAAATCTGTGACCAAACTGAGACCGATAGAGCAAGAATGTCTTTCTAAGCCAGGCTACAAAATCAGTCAATGGCACAGGATGAGAGATGCTTTTATTGTTCACCCAGTAAAACAATCAAGTGGAAGATTATTAGATGGGGAAACAGCAGCTTTGCCAGGCCCGATACCAGGTAACCCCTGAAATGGGTCCCGTGTACCTGTCAGTGGAGCAGAACTGGGCAACAGGCTTCTTTGGGCTCGCTTCAGTAGATAATGTTTAGGGTTAACTGAAACCAGTCATCAGATTAAGAGAAACAGGCAAAGGCAAAAAGTCTATTAACATTAAAACATTTTCTTTCGCCATTTTCAGTACAGAAGGTTTCACATTTTTGCTTCAAAGCGACTTGTTGCAGCCCAAGTCATAATGTTTTTTAAAAAGTGAAAAAGCAACCCTACAAATGAATGCTTCGTTTTGGTTTGAAAGGATATTTTTTAATATTTGACCTTTCCCTTTTTCATTCCACTAAGAAAATGAAGAAAAAAAATGGTCTTGGGTCACCCATACAACTTCAGGTCACCCTCACAACTTGTTTCCCCAGATTTTTCAGTTCAGCCCGCAAACTGAAAAACCACTGTGGGCACAGCCTACTAGGGAGTTTACTGCCCCTCTTTCTCTTGGAATCAGTCCTAAGCCAAAGGAAACGGGAAGCTCATTTCACCAGGTAATACCAGCCAGAACCAAGGTATTTAGCAGATGTAAAAATACTGAAAATGGGGGGAGTTCGGGCTGTTTACAATGGGCTGAACATGATCTCGGAGATAAAAGATCTCCTAGCTCCGAAACTCACTGCCACCTACAAGCTTCCTGCTATGCCATCCTACTCTCATATAAGGCAATTTATAAACTGTGGGTTCGATCCTGCATTTTCAGGATCTGGCCGAGATGTGCTGACACCACTTATTTGCAAGCAATGCAAGACGCAGGTAATTCACCCTGCCTGCAAGGGGGTCTGGGGGCGGGGGGGAAGCAAATGGAGAGAGAGGCGACATCCTCCCCACTAGCAATACTTGAGCATCACTCACGTGACCTGAAAACAACATCCCTTTTTTTGCAGAGCATTACCACTTCTGCAGGGACAATACAGTACTGGATAGTTGCTTTGCAAGCTCAATAAAAAGAAAAGGCCTTACGAGAATCTTTGTTGGGACAGTCATCTGGTTCAAACACAGCAGAAGACAACAACAGCAAAAAAAACCCCACAATAAATTAGGTATCAGCACAGCTTTCTAAATGCTCTAGAACAATTACTTGCAAGACAAAAAAAATCACAGCTCTGGTATTTCGAATCTCGTCTTCCTTAAAAAAACAATAATCCACAGGTTTTGCATAAAAATAAACATTTTAAGCTGACAGCATTATGTTAATTGGATCAACCCGTTTTTAATATATATTTCTATGTATATTTAAATGTATATTTTTTCTATGAATATTCTTTAAAGCATTATGGGAGTCACAAATGCATAAAAATAGATATTTTGGAAAAAGAGTAATAATAAAGACAACCTTGGTGACAAAGAAAAAAAAATCAACAGGGTAGTATTCTAAAGAAACAGCTCACCATACCATAACTTGCAGAGTCCAGTCCTTCTGTACTGTGAGCAGTTACTCCTTAATACTATTGGGTTTTGTAACAGTGATGTAAAATATAAATTGCTGCATGTTTATTTAAAAAAAATAAAGGAGAAGGGATTTGGGTATATAGAACAGATTTTGATGTCTGTTACATCACTGTAAATAACTAGCACAGATCATCTCCCAAGTTGAAAGCAGGAGGTACGCCAGCAATTCCTGCATTTATTACAATACATTTCCTAATCAAAATCTGATCTGTCCCTCTGAATAAAAATTCCTAAAAAAAAACCCAAGCAACACTTTTGCCCTACAATGTTTTTTCTGTTGTCCTAAAAATAATCAAAACAGATCGGAAAAGGTGGGATTTTCAGTAGTGTGTGTCAGCATCCCGTGCACCTTTGACAAAAGCCAGCTCCTAACAGTTAGTCCTGTTACAGCAGGAGGTGACCTCACTGTTAAAAATCCCTTCGAGGCCAAAAGATCGTGGCGGGGGGGAGCCAAAAAAACTGGTAATAGCCCGACCTGCTTGCCAGCTGCATCAGTATTCAACTAAAGTTTAAAGTACCTTTGTGGGACTTTAGAGTCTTGAAGGGTCAGACCGGTTTATTTTAACAAGTGTAACAGCCTTGTCATCTGCTTGTTCAAACTAAAAAACAAAACTCAAAAACAAGCAGAAGCAAATGAAAGGTATAGGAAAGGTCTGAGCATCGGTATTAGACTGCAGAGTGTCTTCTTGACACTGACACTTTGATATTCTTGCCCTCCTTTCTAATGTATTAAAATATCATGAAGTCATGCAGCCATTTTGAATGAGTATTTTAAGAGTCCAGTTTTCGTAGATGTTAACTTGATCACCAGCACAGCACTGGAGAAAGCTGATCTAACAATATTTCACTTACAGAACTCTTCAAAGGAAACTAAGAAATACAATTCCACAAATAACAATGCCAATTAAAAACACAGAAAGCAAATTAGTTTTCCTCAGTGTTCTTTCTTCACAAATTATTTCAGAAAAAATTCTTTCTTCCCTTACCTCTTTCTTTAAAAGCAAATTTTCTACCAGCCGAATTTTAGAACTATCTTCCACCTACATGAATTTAAGCTTTTCTGAAACTGCCTACAGGCTTTTGTGGGCAAAGGATTCCTTCTCCTAACTTGCAGAGCCATGCAAATGGCATCTGCTTGTTTTGTCTTGTTTCTCCTCTTGAATTTGTCCATTCCCCTTAGCACTTCACAGGCCAATACTACTGCAAGAATTTAGGTGTCTGCATTTGAAAGAACTTTGGACTGAGCACAGCTTCACACATTTCGTCTTCTCCATGCCCTTTCCATGTAGTTTCTTCTGTCTTTACAAGTAGAAAAATCACAGTTTGTGTAACATTGTTTTAAAGGAAAAAAGTACACACACACACACGTTGTATTGGTGAACACTATACACTAAATATTTTTTTCAACAGCATAACAGAAAGTTTGGCCTACTGTAGGTTGAACATGTAGGGAAGGCTGAATTTTTACGGTTGCCATGCAAGCCACCTTCAGGACAACACAGATGAACCCACCCAAGAGCAAATGCAGCTTCTACTCTCAAGCCCTGCCTTTCCAGGGATCAGACTGACATCTCGCCAATTCAGTTTATGCAGTATTTAGAGAACCACACTGAGTTGCTTCTGCATCAGTCCTCTAAATTCAAATGCTGTTAAAACCAAAGGGGGAAGAGGGTATTTGTCTTGCCTCATTATTATTAATACGCATATACTTTGATAACACTTTGAATTTCAATTTACTTCTGAAACCTTGCCCTTTGAGAAGAACACACCCTTTAAGTTGACTTTTTTTCAGGCTTCTGTTCCTTTCTCTTTTCTTTTCATTTTGCTGTTCTTTTTCAATTATCTACCAGAAAACTTGCTTTCTTCCAGCAGAAATGCGGCTGGTGGGCTTGGGCTTTCACTGCACTCGCTCTGTGAAATTCTCTGGGAAAACCCCTCGGCATTGGTCAAGTTCCTTATGCTGGATCCAGTCAGACTCCTTCACGCCCATCAGCCATCCTTCATCCTGGAGGAGAAGACAGAGATCAGATGCTGAGGGATAGATGTGACTGGGGATTTTTCTTACAAAGTGGAGGCCAAGGAGGTGTGTCAAGGCATTATCAAAGCCATGCTCGTATTTGGCTTGGAGACAATCCAGGAAGAGGATGGGGCAAACGAAGTGCTTTCATTGCTTTTTAAATAGGGAGAAGGCTACTTTCCACTGGAGTCAATACCAAAACTCCTATCTGACCCAGAGTGTCTAGAGACAGTGAAATTGTAAACAATTAGGAACTATAATAGAAGCATGTCATAATTTACACCCACCAAAGTCAGACAAATTATGCCAAAGAAAGTCTCTGGAGCTACAGGATGGGAATCACCTATCTCTCCTTTCACAGTCTAAACACGAGGGGTCTAGCACCCTCCATAGTCATAAAAGAGACAGGCACCTCCACAGTGCAATTCATCCCATTTGCCTTGGGCACAGGTCTTTGGAAAGGATGAATAACTCCCCAGAGGTGCTCACCCCTGCTCCAGTCAGGACACCAGGAGCATTAGCATTTTAGAGAGGTGCTACAGGAAAAATGAGTCTTGTTTGCTATGCTGAAGTTCTTGGTCTGCGAGAACTGGGAGCCGAGAAGCTCAACCCGTCTTCCCAAAACCCAGCAGTTTGCTGGGCTTGATGCAAAGTGAGGCTGGCAAAAATCCCAAACTCTTGCTACACACGATGCAAGACAAGGTCTCTCACAAGGGTCCTCCCTAGCCACCAAACCTATACATCTATAAACAGGAATGGATTTTCACTGAGGCAAATGGAGTCCTGCCTGGTAGAACCTGCTCAGGAGGACAACAAGTCTTCCCACCCTCTGCCCACAGGGTGTCTAGCATCAGTATTTCTGCTCCATCCAAAGCACGGAGGGAGATGAGATATTCTAGGTGGGAAGGCTGCATGGCTTGCAGCCCAGGTGTGCAACAACCCTTTTCTCTGCATGCCTTGGTGCTGCTACCATGGAAGCACCCCTTCAGCATGCAAATATACTCACTCACGTGAGTCATTTGCAGTGGGACAGCCTATGGGTTAAGACTGCAGCATGAGGCAAGAGAGCTGCCTCCACACTCAACAGCCTGCTCTGCATCCACTCCTCCTGGCAAAGCATGCAGACTCACTTAGAGGCGTGTTATCACATTCAACTACATAACTTGCCAGGGCAGAAGAGCTCAGGAATCCACATGCTCTAAGCTGTGGGGAAACGGGGCATGCGTGTGTGTGGTTCACACAGCTGTTCTGACACTGCTGCTTTCCTGGAACTGGCAGGAGTTACCTGGGTATGTACCCAAGGCCAAGCAATGCTTCCCTTGAAACACGTTCTTTGAAACTGCACCTGCACAGTGCAGGAGTGATGCAGCCCTCGCTGGGGGTGATCACAGAATCACAGAATATTCGGGGTTGAAAGGGACCTCTGTGGGTCATCTAGTCCAACCCCCCTGCCGAAGCAGGGTCACCTACAGCAGGCTGCACAGGACCTTGTCCAGGCAGGTCTTGAATATCTCCAGAGAAGGAGACTCTACAACCTCCCTGGGCAACCTGTTCCAAGGGATGTCAGAAACAACAAGAAGGGCTTCAACTACATCAGTAGCAAAAGGAAGACTAGGGACAATGTGGGGCCGCTGCTGAATGAGATTGGTGTCTTGGTGACTGAGGATGCAGAGAAGGAAAAGGGTGATCCATGGAGCACATACCGCTTTCTGCTGCCATTTTGCAGCTTCTGCCCTCTGGTCCTGTTTTCTGAACATTTCATGTGGCAGTAGCTCAGACGAGCCATTGCATCCGAGTCCCCCGCTCCTCACAGGCTGTGCTGGGTGCCTGCGGGCTCAGCCAGCCCTCACCGCTGCCTGAGACTTGAGCATTCTGAGGACGTCATGGGAATGGCACGAGACGGGAGCCCATCTGCAGCAGCCAGCTGCAGGGGCTGTGGAAGGACTGACACGCCATAAATCAGGAAGACAAATGACTAGGCGGAAGACACTGGGCCCAAGTGTCTGGAAGGCAGCTTCCATGGAGCTCACAGCACGGCAAGCACAAAAGCTCATCCATTTGCACAAAGCGTCTGTGCCATACAGCATGCACCACCCCTGCTGCATCCTGCTACGAAGGGTCTCCTCAGCTGTAGGGATTAGACACGAGGACTCAGACTGACCCTTGCCAATTCTGAACTACGTCACTTGAAGTGCCAGCTTAGAAGTGCTACTGCCCTCAACGCTGCCTTCTGTCAAGAAGATGAATCCAGGCCTGGCTGATGCACCTACAAACCGCCACCTAAGCTGCAAGATGGGGACATGGATTACAGTCTACTGTCCTAAGCTTCCTCCACTCACGTGCACCGTTCATGCACATGTTAACTGCCAGCATTTTCTGTCTGGGTATGGTCAAGGTTAGAGAAATGAGATGTAGCACAGGATACACTGTACGAGGGTTAGAGGGCTTCAGTGCAGCTACAGCATCATGTTAGCAACACTCAGAGCTCACCCTCTGCAGCTTGGAGAGTCTCGAGTTCATGGCTGTTGCACCCACATCCAGCTAGAGTGCAAACATAGGGCATTGAAAAACTCTGCTCCACAAATGCCATCTCCTACCACAGAAACTAGGGGAGCTGCCACTTCTTTCCCATCCAGAAAGCCTTCCAAGAAGAAATGCTCACAAATGCTTGTGCAAGGCAGTCCCACTCAGTGAAGAGTCTTGACTCCAGAAGGAATCACTGCCTCTTCCCCATACAACCCTTCCCCCAAGAGCACCTAGCTCTGCAGGAGCTGTCGGCACATTATAGCTCCCATTTCACAAGCAGCAGCAAGGTCTACCTCCGTAATTCACAAAGCCAACAGCTGAGCCACAAAGAGGATCCACATCTTCTGTGGCCAGTGAACTACATCACCTTCTCTTTACCCCTTGTGGAATCCAGATCTTGTCTGGGCTTGGCCAAAGCCAAAGCAGTGGTGACTACTGAATCAATTGGAGAACTCCCTTTTCCAAACAAAAACCTGGAGACATGAGCATGAATTTTATAAAATCACCACCTCTTTCAGCCAAAGTAGTAAAACTGCTGCAGACATTATGAGCTGGAAGCCCTCAAACACAGCAAGTGAGAAGAATTTACTCAAGGCTTCTAGAAATAGCTCAGATTAAAGAACACTGCCAATTAAATTCAGGTTGGAGATGGACAGTAAGACTGTTCTCTGAGGCTGAGCAACCTGCTCCAGCCTTTGGTTCCGCTGCCATCTCCTGACCAAACACTGTCTTTTGGAAACAGCCATTGCTATGCTGAAGCGCAAGATATCATCCACGGCAAACTGCTGTCTCAGAGCTCCAGCATTTCTCAGAGGGGGAGAACACACCATCATAAGCTGTGGGTCACTCGTGCCAGTGCCACAGTCTGCACTCCAGTGGTCACAGGGAATGTGCATCAAGTTTAGGAGCAGTGAAGAGGCGAAGTATGGGCTCTGTTGGGCTCCCTAATCAAGGAAGCCATTGTACTGGCTCAAATGCCCTGATAGGGATAGGAAGCCACTGCTATTTCACATGCTTTATGCAGGATAATGTCTCCACTTCCCAGTCACAAGCAGAGTCCTCCCCTCTGTTGCAGGAAGCCAATCTCAAGCTCAAGGACAACCGGCTGTCCCGCCAGCTCCCAGCCACAAATTGATGGCTCTGCATCCAGCCAGCCGACTGTTAGTGGAGGAAGAAGCAGCTCTGGAAATTCCCTTGGCTCCTCCCAGCCCAGGCTCACACCGTCTTCCCCACTCACCTGCTCCTCAGGGTTCTCAAATGGAATCACAAGCACCACGTCCCCGGCTTTCAGCTGCAGCTCGTCGCTGTCAGTGGCCGTGTAATCATGCATGGCCTGGACCTATGGGGAGAGGCGAGGAGAGCTTGGGTGAGGCCAGCCTTCTCTCTCAGCTCTGTAATGGGTGACAAGGCTTTCTGCTTCATTGATCCGCTGGATGATTCAGGTTGGAAGGCACCTTTGAAGGCCATCTGATCCAATCTGCTGCTCGAGGCAGGGCAAGCTTGGATCACAAATGCCACATCTACAGGAATAACCATCTTCCTTAATCTACCAGCTACATGCTTGTTCATACAGCCTGGCACGCAGCTCACCCTTGCCACAGGGGCATCCTGGTGAGTCTCATTCAACTTGCTACGCACCAGCACCTCCCCATCCTTCCTTAGGAGGGCTGAATCCCCATGGAAAGAGCCTAAAAACCTCACAGGGCAGAAGTCACCTGTACTCACTCGAACAGTGCTCTGTACTGTTTCTGCAGCTGGACTGCCAGATTATTAGAGATTACAGCCTCCCATCTCTGTCACAGCAAGCAGGGAGAGGAAATGTAGGGAAGAGCATCAGTTTGGATCTTCAGGTGATTGTATCCTGCCATGTTTTCTCTTTGGTATTCAGCCTAATTCCAACCAACATCTGTGTTACAGCTTTTCTACTTCAAACCACAGCTCTCCACTTCGAGCACTACTGTCTACAATGCTGCCTGTAGCGAGTGTAAATGTGATGAGCCTCCTATTGTTCTTCATGGTTTTGTCATTCTTCTGCTTTTGTTAGAAGTCCCACGAGAAAAAAAAAAAATGATGCATGGACATGACTAAAGCAGAAGAAAAGCATTCCTGTGGCAGGAGACTGTCATTTCTCACTTTCAGGGCATGATGCATCTGTGCTGTCTTGCTACCACATTCCATTATGCACTTTAAATTTGTGGCCTCGCCTAGCCCAGAATCACTCCTCCTCCCACACCTTTGAAACAAGCTGGGAGTGATCTTTGGTGTATTCAGACTACCCACTAGACTTCCTTGTCTAATCCTGTATTTTTCCCTGTTCATCCTGACTTTCCAATTTCCCCACAAAGTCCTCCATCCTTACTGGTGTTTCCAACTCTTCCTCATTTGCCACTTGCAACGTTTAACCTTTCCAGTTTGGAGCATAACTTCTTATTTACTATCCAGGATCTGTGACTGGCACTACCACACCACCAGAGATAGAAATAACTGCAGCAGAGAGAAGGAGGAGTTTCCCTGTACAGCACAGCCAAATGTTAAGACACCAATACTCTTACACAGCCCTGTGAAGCACCTGGAATTGCATGAAGCTGGGCTGCTGGAGATGAAGGTGTATCTCTCCTTCAACTTCCTTTCTCCCTTTCAATGTGGCATAGCCCATGGCCATGCTGAGCTGAAGTAGTTAGTTCATTATACAAAAAAGTCACCAGGAACTTGGTGCCCCGCCACCACACACTCACCTTGAACAGAAATCCTGGGGGCATATCAGCTCTTTCAGATGAAGCCCCTCCTTCCACAGTGCCATTGACGGTAGCAGGGAAAGTTTCCACAACAACAGCAGGCAGAGAGCTCTGGTAGGCAGCAGCAGCCAGGGAAGGAGAAAAAGCCATTGAGAAAAGAGAATCCAAAACTGCAGCTCCAGGTCCACCCTGGAGGATCCACATCCCAACCCTACCCATGGCTTCAGCAGGTTTTCCCAGCACACCAGTGACAACACCACCCCAAAGGACAGCAGCGGCAGCAGTGAGAAGGCAGGAGAGGCGACCGCTGTCATCCTTTGCTTAAGGCTACAGAAGGGCAGAGAAGATTGAGTTTTTCTGGGACCATAATGACTGGCATTTCCCATTCGTTGCGGTCATGACGCAGTTCTTGTAGAGCCATCATGGAACAGACAACTCAAATGCAACAGCCTATAGTAACCACGCAGCTATGAGATCGGACCTACTCCAGCCCCCTAAAAAAAGTTGCAGTGTCAGGGAAAAAAATAAGAACCATGGATATTCAGGAGACACGGGCAGAGCCCGAGCACAGGGCAGGTAAAGTGAACAACAAGCAAGGAGGAATCCAGCAGACAACGCAAGCTTAGTGCAGCTTGGGGCGTGGGCTGGCTTCACAACAAGGGTGATGGGACAGTTCTTTGTGCGGATCTTCCAGCAGAGCTTCTCCCTAAGCATTACACAGATAAAATGTAACACAAGTCTGGCCTCCGATTCAGAGCATTGGAACCGCTGGGGTGGCAGGGACTGTTTTTTGCAAGCAGTTACACATCTCTTCCCAGCCCAGCCTCCCACATCTGCTGTATGACAAAGGGATGTGATGGAGAAAAGGGACTGCTGTCTCTCAAGGTGCTTACCGATCCTGAATCGGCATCGCTTTTAGATGCTTCAGCTCCACCTGCTGCTTCTGATCCAGCTGCTTCAGCTCCTGCATGGGCTGCTTCTGCAGGCTGCAATACAAAAGTCATCCAGGTCGAGAGTTATGCTCATTACAGCTACACATGTGTGCAGAAAAGTGCGGCTCAGCCTGTCCAAGTGCTCTATGCTGTTGACTGCTGCCATCTGCTGACAAATAGGTGAGAAGCCTCAGGGTCTTGCTAGGTTTGTGCCTCCCTCTTGCTCTGCAACCCAGTGCCATCACAGTAAAGCCTGCACTCCCTCACTCCAGCCACGCAGCAGGCAATACGCCAGAGGAAGTCAATGAAAAGCCAGAACTCCTGTGCGACTCTTTCTTTTCATGATCTAAATTGCAGACCTGCTTTACACACGCACAGTATCTATTATTACATACAGATCGCCCACTTGTATGTGAATACAAGTCTGCTGGCATGCCAAGGGACAAGGATCTCTCAGTAGGGTACTTCCAAGGGTCAACCATCAAGGAATATTTAAGCCTTTGCTTACTCCCAGAAAGAGAAGAGCGTGGTAATAATGTGTCCAGAAATGGAACTTAGTCTGGACCCAGCACCTACATGACATCAGCACTGAATCAAACTGAACTGAAAACTGTGCTAACTTCCATCCAATTTGATTTTGGATAGGCCCAAAGAGTCACGGATTTGGATCCTGTTGTGAATATTCTATTAGTAACAACTTGCTATGAATATTCCGCATGGTGCGTGCACACATTTGTGTTGGTGGAGATGGGAGTTTCTAATGCACAAAAGCTGCCACAACCACCAAGAATATTCCGCATCATCTACAAATCACTGCCTGGCAGAGACTGCTCCAGGAAGCCTGCAGACAGGAGGTTCTGTGCACAACAAAAGACCAACCAAACACCCAGCAGTTCAAGTTTTTATTCTCCCTTGCCTGAAGTCAGGCTACCTCTGTTTTAACACAAAATTAAAGATATTCATTTGCCCCCCCTGAAACTGCAGCAACACAGAGAGCAAGTTGGATCTGACAGCATCAATGCTGCAGATCAGCCCCTTGGGAGAATGACCAGGCAGCACCCAGGAAGACTCCTGGCAAGAACCTCAGGGATCTAATTTGTGGCCTGAGTGTCTAAATGGCCAGTCTATATCCATTTGTTCTCTATACCAGATAGCACATGGGTGTCTCTGCAGAATCTAACCAGATACCCACTTCATATTTCCACGATAGAGATTGCTGTACAGAGACTTTCCATTTTTAACATATGTAAATAACCCAGGTTTTGCATGCCTACATTCCTGATACCTTTGGTAAACACATGTACCTCTTAACACAACCACGTTCAAAACACGGCATTGTCCAGATTTCTCAATGTCACAGCTCTCATTAGCCCCAACCCTCCAAAAGCCCAGTGTAAAGCAGTGACCATGGTAACCCTCCACACCCGTGTAGCTACTAGCCATGCACTGGCACAATGCTCCAAGTCGTTCTTTAATAACAGCAGCAATAAAAAAGAAATAGATCCCTGATTTAATAAAAAGCCATTACTTCACCTTCAGCTGCTCCAATGCTGCCATTGAACAGAGGCTTTCCTCTCCTGTCACATCCTTCCTCATGTCTCCCCATCACCATGTCCACAGGCCTGTACTGCCAAAGGATATTACAAGCAGCAGAGCAGCTCCCATCCTGCAGAGGATTCCCACAGCAGCTTTCATAAATGTATGCATACAAAAGGCTTCAAAAGCTTCTCCTCTTTAACTAGATTTACTCCCAGGTTGCTTTTCATTTGGATTCAGTGAAACTGGAACAGATGCTAGCCCAACTCTACCTGGCCAAGCACAGTTTTTATGAGGACAAGTGAAAAGGAGCTCAACATGAGTTCCTTATTAAAAAGCAGCTAATTTTAAATACCAGTATTTAATAACCAGAGAAACTGAATCTAAATTAATCCCATGGATTTCAAAGGGCATTTTCATGTCAGCTACTTATTTTTCTATTTTATATACCTGTGGGCATCTCAAGGCCTATAAAAGCATTTACAGTCATGGAAAGATACTATAGTGAAAAATGGAAGACTTGCTCACTGCTGTTGCCATGTTTGAAAACTTTGCTTATTCCAACAGCAGCATCACACACACCGAATGCAAGAAGTTTCCTAGTCTGCAGAACAAAGCAAGTTCTGCTGCATCCAAGTTTCTGTGCAGTTGTTAACCTCACGGCATATAGGACTACATAACCACTCAACAAGTCTCCTCTCATCAATAGCCGAGAACAACATTAGAGCGAAAACACTTCAGAAGACCTGAAGAGCATACTGTGTATGGTGTGCCAAGGTGAGAATTGGCATGGTAAGAACATCTTGTCCAGCAGCATTCCCTGGTTGACTGAACTGTCCTTTGAATGAAATCAGTTTCCAGGATGAGAAAAATGGCCCAAAACACCTTTCACACCACAGACTGTAAGCACTGCTCTGACACAGTCATACCTCAACCCTGCCCGTCCACTTGAAAGGCACAAGATCTTCCCTTGCAAAAACACAGACTTGTCTTTCTTACTCAGACAGACAGACAATGCACATACAGGGGAACGACAGACGTTAAACACTGATGGCCGATAAAACACACAAAGGAAGCACCTTCTTCAACCTGACCCAAGCTCATGTGAAGGAGAGTACTGGCCACAGCGAGCCCTTGGGCCAGGCTCTCAGCAAGGGTTAAGTCATGTCCTCCCAAGCACTGACTCTACATGGTGATCTGTCCCTTGAGAATGGCACAGCTGGCAGGACTCAATTCCCTAGCATAAGCCAAGGACATTGCTTACATCTACACCATGGGATATAGCCAGCTCAAGCAACAGGCTTAAGTACCCAAACCAAGCGTTTTCTGTCCACACTATTGGCTGTTTGTCCAGAGGGGCTCAAAAGTAGTTGTGCTTGAAATATCTCCTAACAGGCTTATCTTCAGCAATGTGAGACCTTCCCAGGCCCAACATATCTAGAGGGCACAAATGAGGATCTGGCTTTGGTTCAGACGCAGAGCATGCATAAGCTGGTCTTTGTCAGCAAGCTCCAAAGCTGAGGTTGAGGCAGACACCAGCTAAGTCTTGGGCCTACATTTAACTTTTAGTGTAGACACAGGCTAAGCTATTTCACACCAACCTTTCTGGCAACAATGGTCAAACAAACAGCAACACCACAGATAATTCCAAATGTGTATGTATACCCAATGGTACAGGCAGTAAGGACGAGGGGCAGCTGAGACATTAATGCATCGCACACAAGAATAAGACGATGTAGAGAGTTTACGAAATACTGGGGAGTGGAGGGTTAGGATGATGCCACAGCGGGACTAAGCTTGAGGAGAACATCAGAGCATCATGTCAAAGGAAAGGTAAGTGAGTTAGCAGGGAATGGCAATAGGATAGTGTGCTGGTGGAAACATCAGTTTTAGAGTGCTAGACCTTGACTTGCAAACATGTTGCTGCCCCTGGGGCTTCACAGAAGGTGCTAAAGTGGGTTTAGCAGCGCACGGAGCAACTTTGTTTTGGGGTGTGCAGAAAGGAAAAGCAGCGAGGGAAAGCAGACAGGTATGCACATGGAGCTGGCACTGGCACATGCACAGTACATGATGAGAGACAAAAGCCATATGAAGTTCTTACCTCCCATAAATCCCAAGGTAAAGACTAAGCATGTCAAAGAGCAACAAAAATAAAACATGTTTATACGTGATTATTTCAGTGAGTACAAACGTCACAGACACTGATCAGACTGAAGCAGACACACACATTCAACACTGCTTATCTTTGCATGTTTTCAAAAATATTTTTTTACTACCTGAATTTATACACCACTCCCCACCACATAGCCAAATCTAAGTACCAAGGCATTTGAGTAAGGGTTTTTTCCACCTCTGGTATGAAGGGAGACAGCCAAGCCACATTCAGTTACTAGTGGCAGACCGCTTAGCCAGAAAAAACAAAACTCATGAGTTTGTGGTCCATCCAGGTTAAATATGCTCCCACATATCCACACCCAACAGAGTTAGCATGATTTCAGAACAAGACTTCAATTGGTGTCTTTAGATCAGTAGTGAAATATCTTAATCTCTCTGTCATAGTGCCCACTGTATAGGAAATAAATTTGACCGATTTGAAAACTGGGTGGTTTTGGCTAGGTTTTTTACTGTGCTATCATTAGAAAGTATTGATTTCAGACTCTTAACGACTTCTGAAGTTAATAAATTCATTAGAATATGAAATATGCTATTGCTGAGCAGTTTTGGAAAATCCACTCATTGTAATATTTGTTGCTTGCTGGAAGGGTAACAAATAATTCCATTTTAAGTCAAATTTATACTTGTATCTTATGTCAGTATATCAAATTATCCAAGTTATAACTGGTGATTCAGAAAAAAAAAATCCCAGTAAGTAATTAAAAAAGTTTATCCTAGCATGCAGCTTGTTCCGCCAGGCAAGCAGACATGAAAGGCGTATCTGCCCACCTATAGTTCCATAAAGTGGTAGCTTGCCATACTGGTGTGTGTCAAACTATGATAATAATTAGCATTTTACAGATATAGTATTTTAATTTAGAAAAATCAAATGTGTAATGTTTGATCTCTCTTCTTAGAGAGGTCTTACCACTACAAAAATCTGCATCATACAGGCCTACTTGATATGATGATACTGGAGAATTACTGTAAACATCCCAGTTATGTTTATTACAAATTTTAATGGCAACCACAGGCAAAATATAACCATTTCATGCATATGAAATGGAAAGTCTGAGGACAACCATCAAATTCAGGATGCACTTCACAGCCTCCAGCCATTTAGACACAAAATGAAGTGCGTTCCACTGCCTCTGACAGTGGACAGGACCAGGTACAGACCAGAATCGGGCATCTTCCATTTCCATACCGCACTGCGCAGCACTATGCTCAGGGAGGAAGCTTCTCCTTAGCTACGAACAGAGGCTATGTTATACCTATAAAAAGATGGGCTTCTTATCACTTGAATAAATGTCTGCAGTTTTATTCACCTTAAGTAACTGCAGATTACCAGAGTGTCTGTTCATTAAAAACCCCTTTGAGAGCAATTTACAGCTGGAGCACAGAACTGAGGGTGAATCCCCATCCACAGAGTAACAGTTTAAACCCATATAGCATACAGCAGATGCTAGTCTAGGGAGGGACATACATCAAGTTGAACGAGTTGTCAATCAGTAGATCATCAGAGCAAAGCACAAGCATCCCACCAACACCGAGCGCCAGACTGTGGCTAGGCTAATAGCCACTTGATTCTCACTGGACTTACACATCCAGCAGAGAAGACTGAGGTACCCATCTGCAAGGCACAGGTCTGGGCACCCAGCCTCGCCACCCACAGCTCAGGTCCACACTGTCATTCACGTGGGTGCAGGTCGCACCACACTTGGCAACAAGTCAGTCATGAAGGGAGAAGGAATGGTGAACCAACCTGGGAGGCGGGTGTGGGGGTCTTCCCCACAGTGGCATCTGGTTTAATGGGATCAAAATCCAGATCCAACAGGCTGGCTCCCTCCTGGAAGGGCCCAGGGGCATCAAACTTGGCAGCAGTGAGGAAGAAAAGCAGTACGAGCATTAGACACACACATGTGCGCACACAGTAGAGGGACGGTATGTGCTAGCCAGGCTAAGGCTGCAAGCGCAGAAGATGTGGTGGCAATGCAAACATCTGATGTGACTCCGGACTGCTCGGTGCCCATAATCACAGGCAGTTCACATGGGTGCTACTGTAAACCAAACCTGGGCCTTCTCCACAGGACTCATTCATCTTTCCACCTGGCCAAATGAGCTGACATGGCTTAAGCACCTGACCTGCTATGGTCAAAAGGATCACTGCCACTGACAACTCAGGATTTCTTATCTATTTACCTCCATTCCCCATAGCTCACCCAGCTGCCTCTGTACTGACAGCCCAGAACAGACTCCCTCAGCCACATAAAGAGGAGCTGCCATCCATACAACTACTCTCAGGAACAGAGATCCAGGCAGAAAACCACCCAAACTGCTGGAAGGCAAGTCTGAGAAACCTCTGAGCTAACTCCCAAACCGCCTAATTCCACCATGCCTTCTGAGATGGAAACACCGAATATGGCAGCCCATCCTAGCGAAGGGATTTGACATTTCAAAAATGCTGTTTTCAATGGTGTCCGTTTCTGGACATCCCAGAAACACGCACATACTAGTCTTTAACAAAGCATAAATTTGAGAGGCTTTGCTACTCTCTTCAAAGTCAGCAGAATAACTCCCTTGACTAACACTCTAGCTAAAGACAGTGATGGCACATTCACTGCTCACCATTAGTAAAACAGCCACTACAATGGACATGAGTCATTAGCATTCAAAACTGAACTACCACTTTTGGTTTTTAGATTTAACCTAGCTGCTACAAGACACTCCTTTCTACTCAGCTTTAGAGAAAGCTGCTCTCTCCAGGAAGCCCAGGAAGGTTTGCCCCTTTCCACTGATCTCCCAGCTCACTGGCCCTACTGCTTCAGCTACCTTTCCAACACCACACAAAGTCTGGCAGGTTGGTCTCCACAGTTATATCATAGCCCCATAATGGAAAAACTCCTGGAAAATAGCAAGAGACTGTATTTAAGAGAAAATCCTCTGAATACAACCCACACCATTTTCACCTCCTCTAGTTTCCTCTTATTCCAATTCTCTTACAAATTTTTCTCCCCGCTGTGAACATCTCTTTTTGAGATCCACAGGGATGAGGACAAGGAACCAACCTCTCCCATCTTACAATAGTAAACCCTGACCAGTATGCAAAAAATCAGCCAACATTCTACTATGCTCCTCCAACACATTCAGGTCACCCATCAGAGAGGCTCCAATCCCAATCTTTAGTTTTGTTTGGTAGTGAGACAGCAATGGCTCCCGTCATGGAATAATCTTACCTGCCATTCACGACTTGCATGCAAGGGCTAGCATCCCTTGCCTTTAACCAGATCTCCCACAAGACAGCTCACTGGAGCTATGACATCTGACAGGGATGGCCTGGCAACACGCTGAACGCTAGTGGCTGGTGGGTGAAGGTTGTTCTGGCAATCAGAGTCCTCCCTCAAAACTCCCATCTGATTGAAAGTCACAGCAGATCCCATCCCGGGTCGGAGCACTTATCAGGTGCAGAAGAGTATCTCTGACTAAGGGCTGGTGGTCACATGGAAATACATGATACAAACCATGGGGCAGAGCTGTCCATTACGATACAGGAGAAGGAAGCACAGAAAATGATCGAGACTTGCTCAGCTGCCTGTGGTCCCCACCTTCCAACACTGCTGTCAAATCATCTCTCTGCTCTGCAAGATTTATCTATTGCAATGTAAAATCTGACATGGACCTCCTTCCCTCCCCACCCCACCTCTGCTCTTCAGCAGCTGGGTAGAAGGTGGAAAACCACAGGCAATGCAGCAGCATGATGCAAGGAAAAGTTAGGGAATGACTCACAGATGAGCACTGATAGAGACATTATTTGTGCTTTAACAAGCATTTAGGAAAAAAAATTTAAAAATGTATATATATCCATATATATAAAAAAAAAAAAGAGTAGATGCAGGTATCTCATGATACAGCCAGAAATCTGGTCAGGCTCCTATACACATAAGGACTGCCATCATCTAGATCCAACACAGAATTCCCCACCTGGGCATCCTCTCTTGCAGTAACATAAATCGAAAGGAAATTGAAGAGGAAAATATGTAATTTTAAAATGTTTTTCCTTTTTCAGGGCTTCAAAAAGTGCCACATGACAAGACAGAAATATTCTTATGTGAACTTCTGGCAGGTGAAGAGTGACAGACTGTGTCAGCAGTCCTGAATTCACAGCAGGTACAGTCCTGCCCATCTAAACTGGAGGCACCTATTCTCTGCAGAGAACTTCATGCAATTCCTGTTGGCCTTTCCTGCACAGGTGCTGGCTTCAAACCACAAAGCCCATGTGTGAAGGGCATAGAGAACATGAAACTGCCTCCTCCCAGAACCGGCACAGATGCCAGTGTCTGCACTTGGTGATGTACAAGCACAGGAAACACATGCTTCATCCACACCCACGATCAGTGGCTCTGGAGAGAGCACATCATGGGATACGAGGGGAACCATAATCCATGTGTACTGCTGCTGAACAAATACAGTGATTACTTTCTGGCATCTTCACCATTTGCATTTCTCCTGCTTCTTCCATGAATGAAAGCTCTCAAAGGGCAATATGTTAGTCAAAGCTGCCTTCTAGCCACCCTCCCCTCTAAGTTAGCCTCCTGTCTAACCCTTTGCCTTCTGCAGTCCAATGCTGAGGTTGCCTTCCTCCTCCACCTGACCAGGTTTCATGGCTTGACAACTCCAAAGAGAAGAAAAGTCAAAAGGAAAAGTTCAGAGGCAGACAAATATAAGGCAGGGCATAGCAGCTAACCTGCGAAGGGGTTGTCACACTTATCTCAGGGACAAAATTGTCATCAAACAGACTGATGATGTTCTCCTGCTTGATCTCCTTGGAGGGGGTGACTTTTGGAGGCGGAGGCACCGGAGGCCCTTTCCTCAACTGCATGCAAGTGAGCACACGGCCACAGCACAGACGGCAACACCCAAAAAAACCAGAGACAGGAATCAGGTTAGCCACAAAAACTGAAGGTGGGGAAAATCACAACCACAGGCACAGAGCAGGGTCCAATCAACTCCATCTGAAGAGAAAGGGAGGGAGGGTGAAGGTCCAAATTGAAACTAAAACAACTAACAACCACACGCCTCCACAGAAGGTTTGGCATCATTAGTTACACTTCAGCCGTGGGCAAGTTTCCCTCTGCAGAGGAGAAGCGTAACATAATTAATATGCATTGACAGGACATGCATACATCATTAAAGCATGTGCAACCTTCAAAAGAACCACTGGGAAGGGAGCAGATCAATTACTGAGAACACGATTCAACAGACCAGGCCAGCTCTGCCTCTCTGCCATACTTACCATACCTAAGGGAATGAGAGATCAGACTCAGTCTGTCCTGTTATGGGTAGGTGACCACGAGGACAGACTCTGATCTGCCCAGTACTGGTTCCCTGATGCAGTGGTTATCAGTGTACTGTAAGAAAGGTCTGAAGGAGCTCTTGATGGCGTCTTACTACCACTTAGCTTTAGGCAAGAACAATTCAAACTTCTGAGAAGCCGTGATTGCTGTGGGCCAAACCCTGCTCTCAATTCCACCACTGAACATAGACACTAACGGAAGTCCTGTTTCCCAAATGGAGAACTCAGAGAACGCATAACAAAGTCTGACCCTGTAACTCTAACCCATCCTAAGACCCACGATCCTGCTAGAAGACTCAGCCTGACACTGCATTCACAGCCCCATGGGAAGCTGTGGTAGACCCTCCCTAGATCAACCCATCCACATCCTTTTCACATTTTCCTGTGCCCAAGGCTCAATGATAATTTCTAGATCAAATCAGACTTTGAGGAGTTGCTGCTGTGTTGGAACAAAGCAGCCATACGAGCTCCCCACATTGCAGCAACGCTCAGTAATGACAACACTTTCCATTTACAGTGATGTTTTACAGTTACTTGATCATCCCATCATATCTAGCACCCCAAGGCAGCAACACTCAGAGACTGACTACAGGCACCCAATGTATCAGTGCCAGGCCCAGACCTGAAACACAGCAACCCCCGACTCCTAGTTCTGTGTTCACACTCCTCCAGCATATAACCGAGCTCTACAAGGCACTTCTCCAGATTGCTAAGGATATGCCTAGTTTTCTACTAGGTTAACCTACTTTAGAGAGTGTGAGCATGCAAACACACATTTTCCAATGAATAGCTGGCTAAGGGAAATAATGCAAGTAGTGTGCTCACTTCCGACTTTTCACTGTTTACAGAAAGTGGTGTGTCCATATCCCCTCAGAACAATCCTCTCCTGAAATTCCCCTGCTTGCCAGTTGCAAGAAGGGACCAGAAATTTCAGGGGAAAGCTATTCTCAGAACAGACCCACCATCTGCAGAAAAGGGAAGCTCCAATCACAAACTCTAAAGTCAAAAAGATCCCATCTCTTCTGCTATTTATTTCTCTGAAATAGTCAGTCTCCTTTCTTCCAATGTATTAGTGTCTTGGAGACCACCACTTCCAGTGTCCAGCACTACCTCCACCACCAGTCTGAAACTACATTTCAGAGACAACAGGATTGCATATTGATCTTGGTTTATACCTGGAAATTCATCAAGCACAAATAACTTTGCCACCTAGAATAAAATAAACCCTCTAAAATCCTTCCGCTGACTTGGATCCCACAAAGCTTCACCTGTCTAAATTCAACGTAGCTGCACTGATTCCAAAAGTGTCATTACAGTGTTTCAGTGGTGTAACTGAGAGCAAAAATCTGACCTTTGAAATTTCACAGACCCCTGAAGTCCTATGTCATCATCAAATTCTTCAGTGCAGAGAGCTGATAGCAGTCACTCCTTCCAAAAGACAGAAATAAGCTAGTTTCAAGAATTAAAGGTTTCAAGAATTAAAGGACAGTAAAAGAGCTAATTTTTTGGCATAGGGGGCAGTTCAAAATTTAGTTCATATTTATTTGGTCTCTCTTGTTTTGCTGTCTTTCTCTCCACAGCCTTTGTTTATTATTTGCATTAATATTTCAGACAGGACGAGGCCAGGGAATTGTACTTGCTTGTTGCTTTTTGCTCCATCCTCAGCCCGAGGATGAGGCTCCCAGCCTCCCTACGAGGGCCCTAGCACAAATCACTTACCCATAGGTCAGAAGTAATGACACCTGTGAAGATTTCAGTATTAAAAGTCGAGCAGTGCTGAGCAGCAGACACTTGGGTTTTCCAGCAGGCTGGCAACCTGACACACGCTTAGTTTCTAGACTTCATCCCCACAGACACCCGGCTTGGCTCGGAGTACGAAACCCCTGTCCTTGCCTTCCCTCGCTCTGGAGCCAGCTCCGTCTCCACGTGCCTAGCGTGAATTTGGAGGGGAGCTCTTACTCTTCACTGTAGTGAGCCACGGGAGAATGAAATAAAGAGAGATTTGGAACAGGCTACCAGCCGGCGGCAGCATTGGCTGCAAATACCACCTCAGCAGTGCCTGGGGCCCATCTGAGGTTCCAGCCAGGGCTGCCACAGCATGCTCTGCTTGCTCGACAAGGGGTGCCCCAGCCCCACTCCTGCGGGTGGAAAGGCAGCAAGTGAAGGAGAAAGCACTCGCAGGCTGGCAAAAACAAGGCTGATGTGTGCTATCTAAAGGAAAGGGAAGAAGTCAAATGCAGCAAGACAAGTGAACAGCTCAATAAGTCTATATGATTTGTTGTTCCAAATTTCAATCAAGTTCTGACAATCTCTGAACAAAGAGGAAGGTAGTGCTGGATGCGCTGTCCTTCTCCCCGATACACATACCCTACTCAAGGTCCTGGCCAGGGTGGTGGCAAAGCCGCTCTAGGCTGTGCAGCGCTGAGCAATGCAGAGACCCTAGAGAAGTCCTGAAAAGGCACTGCTAGGCATACACACATCTTGCAGGGTTGGAAAATACCCTTTTGCCAATGTACAAACATCCTCTTTTTGTCCCTAGATAGCCCTGAAAATCAAAAATGCAGTGGAGGGAAAAATATTCTGAGAGGCTATCCAGAAACAGGAGACAGCCTACACCCCAGGCCTGGAGTTGGAATCACACTGCTACGTACGACAACAGCAAGGAAGTGCTGGGTTGCACCCCTATCCTTTCAGAAGCAATAGGTTTTCTCTTACCAGTTTGGCCAGAACCCCTCTCAGCTTTAGTTCTTCCTGGGAGACTCCTGCCTGGTGTCCCACTTACTGAAATGCAAGGATTGGCACCAGACATAAGTTTGGCCTAGTTACTACTTTTCTCTACTAAGCTTTTCCTCCACTCAGCAATAGAGGGATGGGAAAAGGAAGTAAATATTGTATTTTCCTTCAATCCCGATGTAAAACATATCATACAACATGCTGAGTAGCAGGAGCTACATCTGCTATTTTAAACTTGCCACTGGGTATCACCTGTGTAAGGAATGGACTACATATAATGGACAATCTTCTTCCTGGTACTGACCTAATTTTTTCATAGCAGAAGAATATAATGCCCTTACTTTTAGCATAATCTTTTATCTTGGGCTTGAAGTACAACATCATGCTAAGCACAGATGTTCTCCTTATCAATATTAAACTTTTCTTCTTTGAACCTTCCTCAGTTACAGAAGTTCTTGAGAAGAAACTGGACCACTGAATTCCACAGATAAATTCAAATGTAAAGAACAAAATTCCTCGCCTACCTACAACTCCATCCTCCCTGGATCTTCTCGGCTATCCTAGTGGATAGCAAAATGTATCACTGGCCTTCCCCCTGTAAAGTTATTCAGAGACAGCTTAGTTCTTCCCTATATGATATGGAGATCACCAATGAGCAACATGCATTCTCAGGAACCAGTGAAGGAGAACAACCACCATTTCATATTCTCTGTGCTCACTAGAACGAAGAGGTCCAAAAAAAGCAACAAATGGATGTCTGACTCACAGAGCTTGTGCCATCAGCTGTCATACTGCAAAGACACGGTCAATGTCATGGGGACACTACCTGAGATGGTGACTTTGGGATGCTTGCCCCAGGCGCTTCCAAAGTGGACGGTTCCAGCTCATGGTTGACAGTCTTGGTCTCAGGGCTGGTGATGGGAGATCCATCTGGTGGAGGTGAGGGGCTTTTATTTGCTTTCGCTGGGGTGCTGTCACTGAAGAAGTGGAGAGAGAAAGGGAGAGAGGGGGAAAGAGAAAGAGAGAGAAGAGAAGTCTGAGCAAGGCCTAGAAGGAGTTGTGCTAACCAGCACAGATCAGTGGCCTTCGCTGCCCAGACATGTGAGGAAGACATATGAAGCCTCCACAAGCTTCCGAGAAGCATCTTTGCTGAGTGACTTGCAGTCCAACACACTGCAACAGCATTACTGTGCAGCAGGCTACTCACTATACTCCTACTGCATAGATATACCTTGCCTCAGACACAGAAAAACAAAACCAAAAACACAACCAGGAGTCCTTAGTTCTGCTAGATTCTAACATAAGTGTCTGACTTTAAGTCACAGTCTTTTAATACTTGGGAAACAGATTGGGGAAGGAGTTCTGTGTAGCTCATTTAGTTTTAATTTCTATAGATAAGAATTTTTCTGCATGGTAGTGTACTGACACCTGCATGGGTTATGACCAATACATTTGCAACACCTGAACTAAGGCTGTAATTATAGAATACATATTCCTCTACATGGTAAAAACTGGCTAAGCTGGAAGAGGGGCAGAATAGCCAGAGGTTTCACAGATCATTCCATACAGAAAAGAAACAGAGATTCTGGCTACTAATAAAAGAGTTCTCTATTATGGAAAGCCTCTCCAGCCTCGTTTTCAATGATGAACCCCTTCTGCCCTTGCCTTTCCAGTTGGTCCTTATTCCAGGACTGCTTCTGACACAGTCAAGAGGGAATTCAGGGAATTAAGATGCAAGAAATATGCCAATGGCATTTGTTTGTTCACCACTTGGCCAGATTTGGACAGATTTTTCAAAGGAATGGCAAGAGGCACACGCCTTTCCCTAAGGCCATGCCCTGGCCAAGTGTCAAGTCTGTGCTTCAACGTACAGAATCACAAGAGATTTAGTAAAAAGCTGGTTACCAGAGAATTTCAACAGGGATAAAGGTAAAACCATTTTCCCAGCCTAATTCTCAGGAACAGCTGAATAATCTTGGCTGAAATTCAGCTCCCCAAAAAGCAACTAATCAATTTATTTCAAGTCATGCCGAAGCACAGACACTGGTAGGGGATATTTTAGCAGAAGTAGTTACAGTCTGGCAAAGTTATACACAGCTGAAACCAGACTGTTACAGGATATTGCAAAAGGGCTGTGCAATCTCATCTACTGGGAGTGATATTTGTCTCCACTTACAAAGTTGCAGTTCTTGCAAAGTTAAAGGCCTTGGGAGAAGGCTGAAAGGAACAGATTTTTCTTACAACTTGAGACAATAAATCCTGGCAGAGCCAGGATTAGAGCAATGCAGACTTGATTCTGCAGGAACATCAACTCAATTATTTCTTAGCTCTGTCCCAAGAGAGCCCAGAGCTCCAGACATGTACGTCCACTCACACTTGGATGCCCAAGGCGTGGTGGTCATTGGCTAGCATGCAAGATGGCCTCATTCCTGAACGCTCTTGAGAGTAGGGACACAGCAAGAGGAGGCAGGGACAGCAGCACATTTCACTAGACCTCCCCTTCCAAGCAAGCATCTCCCCCTACTCAGCATTCCAGCTTTCAAGCTCCCCATCCCATTCTCTCTTCATTCACTTTGCCTTTACCTATTCCTCCCAGTTTCTCCCCAGCTCCACACCCCACACACGCATTTCCCCACGGAGCACTTGTTCGCAGGTCCACATGCAGGTCAGATGTTTCTGATGACACCAATGCCAGCAGAACACCAACACGATGCAACAAACCCAATGACATTCTCTGCCAGCAGCTCTCAGAGGCACACACGCCAAGGGAAAGATTTTTTGAAAGAGAGGGAAAGGAAGAGGAAAAAGGGAAGACGAGGGACTAAAGAACATGTATGCCATCCCCTGCAGCTCTTCAATTTGACTGGACATGCCTACAGTGTCCTTCCTCAGAGGTCCTCAGAAATCACTTCAAAACAGCAAGTTGTGTGGAGGATTCTGCGAAATTGACAAGGCGTGCTACAGATTAAAAGTAGTAACAGAAGGTGAAGGCAAGGAAGTCCTGCGCCAAATGGGAGTCACCAGGGAACAGCAGATGACGACAGAAAATGTCCTCTGGTGCTAGAGTTTGGGGGAAAAAGCCATTAACATGATATCTTCCCCTACAGTTCAAAGCACTTTGGAGAAAGTGGGGGACACTGATCTACAGCCAGACTGCCCAGAGTCCTCAAACACCCAGACTGCACCGGGAATATGGGCACTACTGGCTATCAGCTGGCCCACCAACACAAGGGTAGGCTTTTCCTTCTAGAGACCTGAGAAGGCCATGTCTCCCATCGAGAAAGGAGTTCAGGCTTATTTTCTAATGGCCATGAAACAGCTTTTTAGTGCCTTATTTCTGGTGCTTGGCAGTGACTTAATTTGGGGATATACTGGCAAAAGGCTCCTACACGAGAAGCAGCCCAATTTCGTCCCTTGTCCTACAAGGGCCAAGAGGGCCCCGCACTAAAGCCTTCATTAAGTCACTACTATTTACAGCTTGTTTGGTGTGTTGGCTGATCCCCCTAGGAAAATGCCAGTGCTAATTTTGGCTGAACATCTCCCAGCCCCCAGAGTGGCACCTTCATTCCTGCCCTTGCTGCTTTGCACGCATTTAGCCAGTGCAACCGGCATCCAGCGAGCTTGTCACCAGGATCCTCTGTCCTTCGTGGGTCCCTAGGAGCACACAGAGCAAAGTCCTGTCTCCAGACTGACTGCTTGCTCCGGGAAACATAGGGAAAATCAAGAGCCTGGGGACCGTCCCCACTGACCAAATGCAAGTACCACAGCAAAAGTAAATTGAAACAAGGTCATTGCTCTCTCTTTTTCCTTCCCATGAGCAACTGGAAAGCGATGTCAAATCCAGGAATATCAGGCAGGGAAGTGAAGGGGGTGTCAACTTTCTCCTGCAAATAGAAAGCTGGGAATGGGGTCTAACGCAGTCACTGCAGCTGAAGGGAAAGCCAAAATCCCCCAGCCTCTTAGTGCTGCTGAGCTCCCAGACCCCTCATGGGGCTGCCTCCTCTGTTCTGGAAGAGCAGAGTAACATCTGCAGACAGGGTTCCCATGTGCTTGCAACAGTCCTTCGTTAGAGGATGAAACCTACTTTCCAATACGGTAAAAACAGACCAGCCACCTCCTGCCAAGTTTAAGTTCAAAAGAAAAAACGGGTGGCATCTCAGCTAAGGCTCAGACAGGGCCTCTTAGCCAAAACTAATTTATTTTTTAGCACCCAAGCAGGCTGAAGAATCATTTAAAAAAAAAAAAAAGGGGCAGTAGAAAGGAGGAAGCAGTACCTACATATCCAAATATACAGCAGCACAAACGTGCATTCTTGTGCAGATCAAAGAGTAGCGGAGCCCCAGGCCCTCCTTCCCTGCACCAGGGGTGGCACATTTCTCTGACTCCAGCAGCTGCTCTGACAGCACAGCCCAGGTCAGGCACCTTAACTGCTGGGCCAGTTCGACTTTATCAGGGCAGAGCAGGAGGACATTGTGGCTAGAGCTCACTGAGATGAGATTTACTGCTTCTCCCTCTGTTGTAGCATCCCTCCATTCTCAGTGACTGGAAATACTAGACCTCCTGCCTGGTGCAGGTACAACGCTGGTCCAACCAAGGACAGAGATACATCCAGAGATGTATTCCTGGGAATCCTTCTCTTCCTACAGTAGGAAACCTCAGAATAGTAACAATACAAGACATTCCTTCACTACTTTTCATTTAAAGATATTAAAAACAAGATTTGCCAATCAGCTTCCCTTCTCTACCCTCTAACCTCCCACTTTGTAAAGGATGCACAGCAGAGAAAGAGAAGGGTTGTGTGACTTGCCCTAATCATTGGGAAGTCAAGATCAGAAAAAGCAAGGACCTCAATCCACTTGCTTTTATTGCTAGCAGGACATCATCTTGATAATCATATTTTTTTCTTCCTATAAGGACCCCATGCAGGGAGTACCAACACAAAGACTAAGAAAAACAAAAAAAACTAAACGAAGTTTCCATGTCATTATGCAGCAATTCCAACTATGCTCCAGAGCACATTCTTGTCAGAGTCCTTGACCTTGGACACGGTAACTCTAGGCACTATAGCAACCCAGTTAATTCAATGCCATCACTGTCTTGAAAGGCAAGATGCTGATATTAGTCTTTGTACAAGATAACAGGCTTCCTTTTCCTTCAGCCCTGCACAAAAATTTTATATGGATGCAGCAAGATAGTGAGGATCCTCAAGAACAGAGCAAGTAAGGAGCAAAGCTGGAAGTGTCCTTCTCCCACCTCATCATCCTCCCAACTGCAACAGGATGGGACTTCTGAGTGTGAAAAACCTGTCTCACGGTCGTCCCTGGCCAGGCAGGGAATGACTATGCAGCATTTCAGACCTGTTCAAAAGGGCAAGCCTCACTAGGTAAAACTAGCTGTCGTTAATAACCAAAATTGCCCATATTTCCCACAGAAAACCCAGCACTGCACTTTTAGTCACACAAAAACAACTGAACAGACAATGCCTGAGACTTCACACCGCCTTCTTTAACAGGAAAAGCAGCAAGGATTCAAACCAGGCACACAAGCAGTTAATGGGATTATCCAGACACAGAGATATCTCAGCAGGACCCAGCAGGCCATGAACACATCATATCATGCAAAGGACCCCTCTCCCATCACAGGGTTAACACGTGCCAGGCTGTTAAGAGTCCAGCAACAGCCTCTCCAATTTTAGGAACTAAATTAAACACTTATCGAAACACTGCTCTCCGTACCGGTACCTGCTCATCTTTTTCCTCAGCCTGGCGAACAGTTTAGTTTTCTTTCTGTTGAGGATGGCACGCAAATCATTTTCGTTACAGGATGGCACAGTCAAACCACGGAGGAAGAGTTAAGCACCCACTCACTTGGTGCCACAAAACCTCACTATAATCAAGACAAGATCTCTCCCCTCTCTCTCTCTCACACACACAGTCAGATACACATACACACAGACACAGTACATACTTCCCTTGGTTCCTAGAAAGCTGTGGCCTGCTTTGGAGAGGGCAGTAGAGGGCTTTTTGTGCCTGTCAAAGATCCACGTATGTGAGCAAATTACTGTTTTCCCTGCTCTTTGGAACATGGGGCCAGGGTGCACATGAAGAATAATGAAAAGGAAACTGTATAGACCTGCAGAGAACTGTAAGTGTCCTTTTTTCATGGGTAATCACAGCTTCTCACTCTCCTCTCTAAATACTGGTACATGAGAAATAAAGTCCCCATTCTCCTTTACTTACACTATCTGTGTGCAGCTTTACACGTGGAACCTCATCATCAGATTTCCTGCTTCAGTTTGCCCAATCACAGGATAATGTAGGATAATGCTACAGATCTCCCAGGTCTTCGAGGCATCTGAGCCCTGAATGTTCAAACCCTCTCAGAAACAAGTCCCAAACACATGTCTGAGGCTCCCAGAAACACGTCAGCTGCTCTGTGCACTACACGGCCAGCATCAGATTCATCAGCCACAGCAGAATTTCTGTAGGGCCTCGCACGAATGCTGTGATGATGTGCACAGATAATTGCCTCTCTTATCACCCCTCCTCATTCATTTCCTGCCATTGTATCCATCTCCAGTCCCCCTCCCAGAAGAGAAGGGTTAGGGAAGCATCTGCTCCTGCTGCAGACCACAGTAAGCAATCGGATCAGCGAGGGCTATTTCCCCCTGCACGCTCTCGCTCCACCCTGCGCCACAGTGAGAGGCCAGACGTGCAGGTGAGAGAAGTGCCTCACAGCATTTCCTGGTCACTGCAAAATGTATTTAACTCCCCCAACACGCAGCTGCTACGTCCTCCTATAACACCCTGCTCCACTGCGCTCAGGAGGAAGAGAGTCGCTCTGGAGCGGGTCTGGCATCCCAGCTGAGATGCAAGGACTCAGGGATGAAGCAGCAGCACTCCAATTGCTACACTCTGTGTGAGCTCCTTTTCGGTTTTTAGGGCCATGTCGTCTCGTAGCCAGCTAAAGAGCACAGAACTGCAGCCGAGACACTGACACTCTTGCAGCCCCAGGTGAAGCCAGCAGTTTGTGGGGGCAGGAATCATGAGGACAGGTAATTTATTCACTGGAAGCTCTTTCAGGCCAGAAACTTCATGCCACAACAACAGCAAACATGTCTAGTCCAGGCTGTCACTACAGCCTGCTATCAATTCCTTGAGGAAGAACGGAATGAGGAGGAAGCAGCTGGACAAAGCAATGGCTACAACCTTTCTGTCCCATTACCTCATCCTCTTCCAAGGACCCTGGAGAATGCTACTATCAGAGATAGCACGGCACGTGGCAGCAAGAGGAGGGGCACCAGGGCCTCCTCACAATGCTTCAGGTCTCTTTGGGTTGTGATGATCAACAGACATGATGTGCTAACTTGGGAAGAAGATATTGTTTTCACAAGAAGCATTCCTACTAGCATCTTGGAAATTTGCTGTTAGCAATCCAATATTCAGAGGCCAAATTGAGCTCCAACATCCTCTTTCTTTAGAGCTGGCAAACACCAGACACACTGCTGGAACAAGACATACAAGCCATCTATGCATGACTGCAAGAGGAGGTTAAACTGGGAGGAGAGACAAGGGAGCACAGAGGTCTCAACAGCTGATCTAGCCCTTCCAGATCACACTCAGACCACAGCTCACCCTTACTTCATGCTGACTTCACCTCCCTCCATCAATACACCAGTTGAGGACTCAGGCTGTGCTCCTGCTCACCCGACACGTGGGATTAGCAGCAGCTGGAAGCCAGAGCCCATCCAGTGCCTCATCACTCACACATCTGGACGAGAGCCAAACAGTCCCATCCAGAGCCCGACCTCTCCCTCCCCTCTCAGTGCGAGAGAATGTGCAGACTTGCATTTAACCATAAAGGACTGGACCTAGCTGAGGAAAGAAAGCTAAAGGCCTGGAGGACACTCACTCCTTGCATACGTGCAGACTGGAAGTGCTCTGAGCTCTGGAGGCCTCATTAGTGAGGCTGCAACTATTTCCACAACACACACAGGAGAAATGCACCTCAGCTGCGTACACAGGAGGGGCACAAGACTTTGGCAAACGGGTGGTTCCAAGTTTGAGGGGACAAAAAGGAGGCTAGGGAAACAAGTGGGCTCTTGGTGCTCAAGCTCACAAGCTACAGGTACATGGTGGAAGCTTTTGAGGGAGAGAACAGAACAGGTGCTGGACAACTGGACCCAGAAGGAAGGGTAGCTCGGTATTACATGTCAGTGCATGGAATTCAACTTTAAAACAGCAGAGCTGAGAGTCATTTGCCTAAATATGAGCACCTAGTGAAAGTTTAGGCCTCCAGATAAGGTAAGAGGTATCACATTGCGTCACTCAGCCCCAACTGCAATCTTGGGCATGCTCTAGGGAGTCTCAGGAGGGCAATGGCTGGCTATACGCAGCTAGTCAAACCACCCCCCAACTGACAACACGGAGGTTTCAATACCCCTGGTAGAGACATCCCTTTCCCTCCTCCCCTGCTGATGGAAAGACACTACCCCGACAGTTACTGACCTGGGCTGTGCTTTAACGGGGAAGGCATTGCCTGAGTACTGCTTGTCTAGACCCAGCAGGACATCATGGAGGTTTTGGTTCAACTGCAAAATACAAAAACAAAAGAAAGAAAAAGAGTGAGAAAAGAGCCCAACTGCCAGAAGGGAGTCTGGGCTGGCCTGCACAGATGACCAAACCCAGGCTTGTGCCCAGACATGTGCACGTACTCAGCTATCCCAAGAGAGGATGGCCTTACATCTGTTTCCACTCTTCCATGCGGTACAAAATGCTAGAGCACTCAAACTATTGAAGAGCTGCTGGCACCTCGTGGGAATGCTCTGTCTCCCTTACACATCACCCTCTATGCTTCTCTATCACCTACCCCCACCGGCGTGTGGCCAGGTACCATTGCAGAAGCAGGCACAGTGTTTACTTCAGGGTCTATGTGCTAGAACTGAAGCTTCACTCTGGATTTGTAGCCAAAGCTGTTCCTCAGACCTACTTATGAAGCCTGGGAGATGGCATTTCAACTGTGGAGCCAAAGGCAGCTGGACTTCCAGTCAACAACAAGCCTTGACTTCACAGGCTGACTGGGCCAACTAGGTTTGGGCAGGACCTGGGTATCTTTGCAGAAATGCACTACTAGGGGTTAAACTCTCCCAGGCACCAACTGAAGGCTGCAATATTCACTCCAGACACTCCTCTTCTGAAACAGCCAATTCATAAACAAGATGAAATGCCACATTTATCACTAGTAGGAGGAGGGATCCAATGAAATCAATGTTGGAAGCATCGTGCCGGCAACACCAGCAGTTAATTTGATGCTATAGCAGTAATAAGAAACAGATGGTTCTTAAGGAACAAAGCAAAAGCCCTGCTCTCATACAAGACTCCTCAGGAAAGAAAAATCCAATACGTGATACAAGAGAATTCCTGTCTAACAAGCATCTTTCCTATGTTTTGCTGAATGTAAGTTAACAGCAACGAACTGATAATTATAACTATCCTCCCTATTCTTAACAATCAGTTCATCCCTCGGTGGAGAGAAGCAGGCTATTAATTGGAAAGGTCCCCATGAAGTGTCAGCAGGGCTCAGAACTGATGCATTACACCAAGGCAGAGGGCCCCCGACTGCTGGGAATTGAAGGACTATAATGTTGCTTGTTGCTTAGCAGCTGTCTTGTTGTCAGGAAGACATTGGGGAGGGGAGGGAATACAAGAGTTTTCCAGCTGGGCTCTCAGTCACTCATCAAGATTAGTGCAACATTTATAGGGCATGCAGCACTGCAGAGCAGTATACAGAACTAAGGAATTCAAGACTTCTCTAGCTTTTAAGTGAAAGAATAAGAACATGTTTGTAAACAAATGTGGCAATGGGGGGCTTTCCCACAGACTGAGATCTCTGATGGGTGCTGGCACTCAGTACCAGGATCCAGCCTGCCACCACCACCAGGTTACAACACCACTTACTGCTGCGATTCTCAACTCGTGGCCCATGCAAGGGCCATGCTAAGCACTCACACGCCTTCTGTTGGGTCACAGGGCAGGAAAGAAGCCAGAGCAGAGAGGTACTGTTGGGAAGTAGCAGCAAGAGATAGGCCTCAAAGTGGCTTCTCTTCCCTCTGTGGATCTGCAAATGAAGCCTGCCAAGTGACACAAACTCCCCACTGCTGCATGGCCCTGTGGTCTCTTTCCTGTGCTCCATCCCTTCACGTTACTATCTCAGACAGCCCTTCTCTCAAGTGGCTCAGAAAAACCTAACGGTTAACATTTTCCTCTGACGTGTGGCAAATGCTCTGTTTTCTCCAGTTCTTTTTAGTTTGTTTTTTGGGGAGATTGGTTCTGTTTTGTGTTGTTTTTTCATTTGTTTTGGCTTTTTTTGTTTGTGGGTTTTATTTTGTTGGTTTTTGTGGTGGTTTTTTTTTGGTTTTTTGGTTTTTTGTTTTTGTTTTTTTTTTTTAATAACAGCGAGGAGAGAGTGTATGAGTAGGATAGGCTGCTTAGTTGCCTTACCTTGCTCATTTCTTTATGGAAGTTCTCTTCTAGGCCTGCTATACTCTGGAATGTGTTGACGTAGAAACCAACACGACTGCCAAATGAAAAATAAGACAGAAGAACTTAATGGATACAATGTTTTCCCCAAAAGCTTTCAGTTCCATCCCTTCTGCTACCTCCCACCTACCACTCCCATTCAAACTCAACTATGTAGATCTGGCACATGCTGGAAGAGAAGGACAGCAGAGAAGTGTGAAGGGGGTGACAGAGCAAAGGCCAGGTATGGGGCAAACATGTCCAAGGTGAGGAGGTGGCCAGGTGGGAAAGGATCTGAATTTGTGCTGGTTAAAGGGAGAGCGAGGTGCAGGGTGGAGAGGGAAGAAAAAAAAGGGAAGAATGAAAGAGAGCCAGTGGTAGGATGACGGAAAGGAAAAGGATAGAGGCTGTGACAGGTGGAGTGTGGGGAGAGCTGGGGGAACTGGCAGGAGGACAGATATTAATTCACTCTGAAGTCCCTAAGCACCAGCACCAGGTGAAGCAAAAAAGCATGAACTGTTGGCTTCAGGTGCAGAAGAGTAAGACAGCACAGGCTAGGCACAGAGAGCAACAGGAAAGCAGAAAGATCAGCTGGATAGCAGGAGCCCATGAAAAACCTGTGGCACCTCAAAATCCCAGCAGCTGCTGCCTCACCCCTTCCTCTAGCCAGCCTGCCTGCTGCCTCAGAGCACTGCACCAGCACCCAGCTGGAGGAGCAACAGCAGAAGGGAGATGCTCTCCAAGGCCAGCAGCATCACCCTTCTGCACATGGAACCACCCAGATGCCTGTGTCCCTCCCTCCCAGCTCCTTCCTCACCTGGGCCCACACGCTGATTTGAGCAGAGCATCCCAACCCAGGCTGGGAGGAAAGCGGAGTGATGGCAGACATCAGCACTTTCCTGCCCTGCTGCTGCCCACTCTTTCCATTCCCCACAGACCAGCACTGCCAACCCAGATATGATCACTGCATTTAAAAATAAGTAACTGGGACACTCCTAGACTCTTCTAGGAGGATTTTGCCTGCTTTCCGCTGTGCCCTCCCCATAGACCAGCTTCTACTGCCTTCCAGTTCATCCTCCAAGCTAACGTTGGTCTGTTTCTTCTTCTCCCTTTTCAACACCATATCACCACCGGTATGGCAAGTCCATGGCGTCTCAAACCTTCCTGTTCTCTCAGGCCATTTTCCCCTGCCCAGGCCATGTTTTGTTAAATGGCGCACAAGACATTTACAACCACTAGATCCTCACTGGGTCCTGTGTCGCATAGCCAGGAGCATATTTTGGGACAAGAGAAGGCAGCCACGCCAGGATCCTTCCCTCACCTTTGTTTACCCAACTGCCCAAACCTGAAAGTGGCATTCAAAGCAGAGCAACCTGCTCTCTCATTCTCCCTCTTGTCTTGTACCTGCTGCTTCACCACGTGATCATAACCTTGCATGGTGAGATGCAGCAATCAAGGCATCACCTCTTGGCTCTCTCCAACCCTGCTGACTGTGTAAACCCCTCCGACATCTCACCTTCTCTTAATCAGTCAGCTGACATACTCAGCTGCAGATGTTCCTCCCAGCCAGCCAGCTCCATGCCCAAAATCCTAGTGACCCAGCCTGCTCTGTCTGCTGTCCACAGGCAAGCTGGGCAGAGTTGGTGGGGCAAAGGGATTAATTAGATAAAGCATAGAAACAGTTTCTCTTTGTGGTAAAATGGAGTTTTTCCATGAGGATCATGAAGCAAAGGACAGAAAGCCAAAGGTGAACCTGGCTGGAGGGAATCCCAGGACAGACTTTGAGATCATCCAGAGAACAAGAGCAAAAACCCAGCCCCAGCTACAGGGAACAGTGACACAAGAGCTTAGGTCTTCACTTACTTCCAACCAGCCCTTGGGAAAACTTCCAGCACTCACCTATTCCATAGAGAAGGCAGCTCTTCCTGCAGATCAACATTCATCTCTTCAAACACCTTCTGAGCCTTTACTAACTCTTCTTCAGCCTTAATAACAGAGAAGGGAGATTGTCAGTTCCAGTGCAGAGAAGTACTCTGGAAGGGCTGGGACAGCTCTGACTGACTTCCTTGGGAGACCAGCTAAAATTCTGGGATGGAGAATACCCCATCCCAAATGAGTCTCCCAAGAATCAGGGTTGCACCACAGGTGACCTGAAGTACCTTCAGCTTGCATGTAGTTACTCTCAGGTTTTCTTTCAATGTTTGGATACTCAGAAAGTAATTCAAACATCCACTAATGTGTTTTAAGTTCTACAAGTTTCTGTGGCTTCAAAAACCTAAATGGAGCTGGTCAGGCAGTTCAGCCTCCAGCTCAGATACAGATGAAGATAATATTGACCCCAGCCCCTTGTCAGGTCTCTGAAAAGACTTCAAATCCATCACAAATAGCCTTGAAGAGTCCTCCCTCGTGGGGACTCTCTCTGCTCAGGTAAGGTCATGCCAAAGCCCCATCTCTTCTGAGGAACAGAGGAGGTCTGCATCCATGGCTGATACAGTGCTCTCGCAGAGCTGACCGGAGAAGCAAGGAAGGGTATGCAAAGCATGAGTCGTGCCAGTGGCAGGTCAAGCTGGAGTGCTGGAGTAGCACCTCTCAGTTTCAGCAGTCTCACATACTCTCATCAGTGAGGATCCAACACAAGAGTGATCCCTGGCTGGCTGTTGGCCACCAACACCAAAGGAATTACGCTTTGTACAGGCCCTCTTTCTCCCAGTTGAGCCTTTAAATTTGATCAGTTCATGTGAATTTGACACTGACAGATCCCAACACTGATACATGAATTCTGCTGGGTTTCAGTGACAAAAAGGATGATCCTGGTTTCTGTTGCTGACAGCGGACACCAGCAACAAGCACATTCCCCTTCCCATATTTGTCCTAGGTCACCTCTTCCTTTTTTCAGTGCCCTAACTCAAAACTCAATGCTTGCTAATTAAAACATTTCTATTCTGTAATTTGCAACAGCACAGCATTTTCCCATAACCCCATGCAGTGGGATGCAGGATGGCAAATCCCTGCATGAGCAACTTGACACATTCTAACAGGAAGGTCAGCATCAGTGCCTGCTTACCTGTGTGACAGCAGC